TTTTTAGTTGAGTAGGAAATGTCAGTCCCAGTTTGATGTCTCTGGATGAAGAGCAGTGAGTGCTGAGCAGAGGAGGGGCCTCCCTGAGCAGTGACCCTGACGTGTCTGTCTGTCTGTCTGTCTGTCACCCCTGTGTCCCCAGGTCAGGCAGTGTCCTGCACCACTGGAACGAGATCTATCACTTTGTGGAGCACCTGGCCAGGAAGTTCATCAGGTAAGGAAAGTTCTGCAGTCCCTAGGGAAATGTGGGTGTGCCAGCCCAGCCCCTCCTGTGCTGCTCCGTGGGGAAATGTGGTGCACAAAGGGCTCACCCTCCATTCACTGCTGCTCCCCACGCTCCTGTTCTGTGGGCCAGGAGGAGATAAAATAATTCCATTTATTCCTGCCTGCCTTCCCTGGCTCAGATCTGTGGGAGATAAAGTAATTCCCTTTATCCCTGGATCAGATCCGTGGGGCAGGAATCCTCCTGTCCCTGAGGTGCAGAAGTTTGGGGCTGCAGGGAGATAAAATTAATTCCAGGTATTCCTGCCTGCCTTCCCTGGATCAGATCTGTGGGAGATAAATAATTCCATGTATTCCTGCATGCCTTCCCGGGCTCCAAGCCTCCAGGCTGTGGCTCTCAGGCCCTGGGTGAGGAATCCAACGTGACCCACGTTGAGCCCTCCCTTGTCCCAGAGTGCATTTAAGCTTTTCTGGCTTTAGCAATCCCAGGTTTGTGACACAAATGTTCCCTACATCCTTCACAAGGATTCCCCGAGGTTTCCCTGGACTAGCAAAGCCCAGGGCTGAACACATTTCCATCCTGCTGGGCTGGGTGTGATTGTGTCACATTAATTCCCTTTTTTCTCTCCCCCAGCCCTCAGCTGAGGATGTCCTTCATTGTCTTTTCAACCAGAGGGACGATTCTGATGAGGTTAACAGAAGACAGGTAAGGAGAGGTTTAAAATCAACAGCAGCTTCTGTGTCCTTCTGTCAGAGGGGCAGAGGCTCAGTGCCCGTGGAACATCCTCAGGGATGAAAATGCCTTCCCACAAAAGCAGCTTGGAAGGCAGAGGTGCCACCCACACCCCTGGCTGGGGAAAAATGAGATTTCCTCGGGGCCTGAAGGTGCGGCAGAGCCAAAGAGAGTTTGGGGTGGGTTTTGTGGCAATACCAGATTGCCTTGCTGGTGAAGAGTGTCCCTGCCACCCCCTTAGAGACCCGCGTGTTAATCCCAGAAAAATCTATGGGATGGATTATTTTATTTTATTTTTTCATTTATTTTATTTTTAGTTATTTTTCTTTTTTAATATTTTGTTTTATTTTATTTTTTAAATGTTTTTTTTTAATTATTCTGCATTTTATTTTTATTTTATTTTTATTTTATTTTAATTATTCCGCCTTGCAAGGAGAGCTGGACGAGGTCCCTAAATCTCTCTCGCTTCCTCTGTTCACTCCATTGCCACGTGGAGCAGGAATATATGTTCCACATGTGTGGGGTGTGTAAGCCAGCATGTGTTTTACATCTCGGATGGCTGGATCACATTCCAGAGGGGAGGGAGCTGGCTGCCTTCCTGCAGAGCCGTGCACCCTCACTGCAGCCTGGAAATGTCCCTGGACCGGGCTGGGCATCTCCTGCAGGACAGGGCTGGGAGGATGGACAGCCTGGGGAGGCACTGGGTGACTCTGGTTCCAAATCTCTGTGCCCTGCATGCCAGGACAGCCTGGGGGCATCACCCACCTGTGCTGGGCGCCAGGACACCCTGGTGGCTTTCTCCTGGGTGTGACAGTGCCACCAGGACACCCTGGTGGCTTTCTCCTGGCCCTAACAATGCCAGCCAGGACATGCTGGTGGCTTTTATCAGCCCAGGACACTTTGGTGGCTTTGTTCCTGGGTGTGACAGTGCCACCAGGACACCTGGTCCTTTGCTCCTGGGTGTCACAGTGCCAAGGACACCCTGGTGGCATTCTGCTGGGTGTCACAGTGCCACCAGGACACCCTGCTCCTTTGCTTCTGGGTGTCACACAATGCCAGCCAGGATACCCTGGGTCCATCACGCATCCCTGTTGGGTGCCAGGACACGCTGTTCCTTTTCTGCTGGGTGTCACAGTGCCAAGGACACCCTGGTCCTTTCCCCCTGAGTGTCACAGTGCCAAGGACACCCTGGTCCTTTCCCCCTGAGTGTCACAGTGCCACCAGGACACCTTGGTGGCATTCTGCTGGGTGTCACAGTGCCACCAGGACACCTTGGTGGCATTCTGCTGGGTGTCACAGTGCCAAGGACACCTTGGTGGCATTCTTGGTGGCATTCTGCTGGGTGTCACAGTGCCAAGGACACCTTGGTGGCATTCTGCTGGGTGTCTCTCACACCCTGCCTTCCTCGCAGGGAGCAGATCCGGCAGGGCCTGGAGGAGCTGCAGAAGGTGCTGCCAGGAGGGGACACGTACATGCACGAAGGATTTGAGAGGGTAACGGGGCCAGGGGCTGTCTCTGCTCCCCAGGGGCTGCACAGCCCTTGGGAATTCCTGCTGGGGGAAAGGGACCCTGTCCCCTTGCAGGGCTGGGGCTGCAAACTCTGCTCATTCCTTTATTTCTGCCTGGGGAAGGCAGTGGCATTGAGTCTCTGTGCCCAGCAGGGTGGGAAGGGCTCAGTCCCGCCTGGGCTGGGTGGGCTGCGGCCACAGCTCACACCTGGGGTGCCCAAAGAACTGCAGACCTTATTGCCTTCTCTCCTGGGCATGGTTCTGACATATTTATGTATTTTTACCAGCTCAGGTTTTGACATATTTACATATTTTTACAGGCTCAGGAGTTTCTCTAAAGCTGAGCTCCTGCACTGCCTCCTTTGTGGGGATTTGGGAAGGGTTTGAATTGTTCAAGTGCTGCCCCATCCCTGAAATGGGAGCGCACGGACTGAGCTGTTGGTTTATTCGCAGCTGGAATAGCTGATCTGGGGCTGCTGAGGAATATTTAGCATTGATGTTTAGGAATATTTATTTAGGGATATTTAGGAATATTTGTTTATGAATATTTAGGAATATTAGCCTGGGATGTTTCTCAGTGGTGAAAGGGGATGGGGTTTTCAGAGAGGAGAGCAGTGGGACACAGCTCTGGGGCTGCTTTGGCTGATGGATGAACAAACCAATTATTGATTTATTACTGACAATCTTCCGATCTGATTTCAGGCCAGTGAGCAGATTTACCATGAGAATGTTCACGGTGAGAGCCCCTTCTTGATCCATTGAATGGGTTTTTTTTCTTTTTGATTGATAACTTTAACAGATCTAAAAAAAATAAAATGCAGCTTTGCTGTGGGAAGGGTGGGGGTGGCTCCTGTTCTTGCAGGGATTGGTGCAGACAACTGGGAAAATGTCCTTTCCTTCCCTGTAATGGATGTAAAAACTTTCTGGTTTGGAAGGGAAGGCTGCAAAGGTTTTATGATGTTCCTGAAATGTTGCTCAGGAATCTTGAAGATTTTAGGCCCTTTTCGCACCATATTTGTTTAAATCCCAATCGAGCTTTTTGTCACCAGCTGGAAAAGCCCCTCTGGGTTTCTGGAACTGAAAGCAGGAATAAAACCAGGAGCTAACTGGGAGCAAATTGGGATTTTGGTGGCTGCAGCCTCATTCCCTGGCCTGGAATGCCATCAGGATGTTCTTGGGATGGTTTAGCAAACCAAAGAATATTTTCTGGGGTGGTTTAGCAAACCAAAAGGTGCTTTCTGAGGTGGTTTAGCAAACCCAAGGATGCGTCCTGAGGTGGTTTAGTAAAGGCAGCACTAAGGAGGTTTGTGTGTTCAGGTTACAGGACTGCCAGTGTCATCATTGCACTGACAGATGGGGAGCTCCACGAGGATCTGTTTTTCTACTCTGAGAGGGAGGTAAGTGACTTTATTTCATGGCCAGGGAGGCAGGGGAGTGCCTGGGCTCGCTGCTGGGAATGCAGAGGATGAGGAAAAGCTTTTCCCCAGTGAGAAATCTCCACTTTGGAGCTCTGCAGACAGGAACCCAAAGGACAACCACTGACAGCAGCAGCCACCCCAGCTGAGACTGCTCAGGGGGAAGCAGAGGGGTTAAAACCTCCAGTTCAAAATAAACACAGGAGGAGCAATTGTTCACAGCTGAAAACTCTCAGTGTTTACTGGATTGCTCTGGGAAATGCTGAATATTCTCACTTTCACTTTGCTTTCCCCCCCTCACACAAAGTCAGGACTGCAGAGGGAGGGTGGTGGCTTCTGCCCCATCAGAAACTACAGATCAGCCAGCCTGGCATTGCCACAAACATCCCTGGGGCTCAAGCACACATTCTCAGCATCCCCAATGTTCCTTTGGATATTCTCCCTGCAGAGATGAGCAATTGGCCTTTGCCGGTCAAACCAGGGTGATCTAAACTTGGCAGAGGGAATTTCTGCATGGCTTTGCTATGGACAGAGTTTTCCCTCTCAGTCTGCCCAAAGTGCAGCATTAAATCCAACAACAACGAGAAGAATTGGGTTTGTAGAGTAAAACCAACATTTGTCCTTACTTCCTACATCTCACAGAAGTTTTCTGCTGACCAATCTCACGGCTCCTGCTTAGCTCTAGCTGCAGTTCTGCTGTCTCTGAGGCCTGGCTTTGCAGCTTTTCTGTGGTTTTAAGGGTTCCCCCCATGGGTGACCCTGCTGTGCCCCTGTCCCCTGCAGGCCAACCGCTCCAGGGACCTGGGGGCCACCGTGTACTGCGTGGGGGTGAAGGACTTCAACGAGACCCAGGTGAGAACCCAGCCCTGGGAGCCCGCAGGAGGCTCCTCCTCATCACCACAGAGGTTCTCAATGCTCCTCTGAGCCCCTCCAACCTCCCCAAAGCATCCCCTGGCGTCTGCCTGGCTCCTCTCTGAGCACAGGCCCAGCAGCAAATCCCTGTCCGGACAGGAGACCCGAATCAGGCCAATTTCAAAGAATTTTGGAAGAGTTGAGGTTGGAAAACGCCTCCATGATTATGGAGTCCAACCTGCTTTCGGTTTGCCCTAAAGATCATTAGCCCCTGGGTACCAGTGAAAACCACCTTCTGTCTCATCTCCAAATCCTTTCTGATCCCTGATGTGAAAAATCCCTGATTTATAAACCAACCAGGCTAACAGGACAAACATTTTCCTGCCCAATAAACCACCTGTGGTTTATTCCCTGTGTTGCCTCACAGGGGCACCCCAGAGAGGGCAGCTGAGCATTGGAGGGTTTTGTTTTTAATCTGGGGAAGTGTTAATTACCTGCCTGCAGGCTAATTGATGTCCCCCTCTGCATTTCTGTTCCGTTTGTCCCCCTGCGGCAGCTGGCCCGGATTGCTGACAGCAGAGACCATGTGTTCCCTGTCAACGATGGCTTTGAGGCCCTGCAGGGCATCATCGACTCTGTGAGTATTGTCCCCCCCTGGTTGCACTCCTGGGCTTGGGTTTGCCCGCTGGAAAATAATTCACTGGATCACTCAGGCCAAGGGCAGCAGCCTTGGTCTGTGCTCAAATGCTGATTTGGGGTGGAATTTGTCAATAGGGCCCAGTTTCCCCATTCCTGTGGTGCCTTGGGGAGGCTGGGCTCGAGCAGAGTTACAGAATAAAGCAGGGATTGATTCAAGGATCTCCTGTATGGATCCACCTTGGGCAGCCAAGATGGACCAAAATGGGCACAAAATGAACCCAAGATGAACCAAAATGGTCCCAAAGTGAACCCAAGATGAACCAAATGGGCACAAAATGACCCCAAGATGAACCAAAATGGGCAACAGGTCACAAGGTCTGTCACTTTTACAAGTTCTGCTCTATTTACATATTGGAGTTAATTTCCTAATTACAGATTTAGGTTCTGAAGTCTCATCCTGCTTGTTTTCTCTCTTCATTCCACATTGTTTGTGCTCTTGGGCCTGAGATTTGGGTGGTTGTCCTTGGTCCCCAGCTAGAGCAGGAATTGCTTTGTCTTCCTACCCTGTGAAGAGAGTTTCCCCCCCATATTTTTGCCCCAATTTTTCCCCCCAGTTTTCCCAGTGCTCTCACATGCACATGGACCCCAGCCCTGCTTTGTTGCTTTTCCTGGCACTGCCTGAGCTCTCTGGGACAATCAGGTGCCGCATTTTATTTATTTCATTTATTTCAGAGAGCAGCACAACAACACCACCACCAGAGCAATGCTTGGCTCCCCAGCCCTGCATTCCCTCCGCAGCTGTTTTTAATGAATCCCAGCTCTGCCTNAGATTGTGCTTTGTTGCAGCTGAAGAAATTGGGACAGGCTTGCTTTAGCTTTGAAGTGCGGAGCAGCAGATCTCCGAGGAGAAGGCACAGCAGATAGGACAGAAATAAAAAGGAAATGTTCCTTTCCCCAGCTCATACCTCAAATATGAAGCAGTCACAGGACTGAGAGGTCAAAACTATAAATATGCAAGGGGGAAAAAAATAAGGAAATTAGTCAGATGGATCACGGTTAATGCCATTAAAAATCCTTGTTTATTGAGACAGCAAGAATATATATTCGGTGTTTTCCAGAGGAGTGAAGGGAATTAAGGACAAAAATAATCTGCCCAGTTAACAGCACGCCTCCAAACTCCAGTCCTAATTAGAGGCAAAGTCCTTTATTCCTTATTTTGTGCTGTTTGCTTGGATTTAAATGATGATCTGTCCCATCCTGGAGCCGACATCTCTGCTGACAAGAACCACATTGCCCCATTCATCATGTGAAACCCCAGGGACGCTCAGAGAGCACAGAAAACACCCCAGACACATTCCTGGGATCTGCAAATTCTGGGCTCAGCCTCTGCTTTCCTGAACGGCCGCAGAAATCCCAGGGCAGCAGGAAATTCATCATTCCCAGGGTTTGAAACCTGCCTGGAGCTGGGTGGTGGCATTGCTGTGCNCTAATGTATCTATATCCTAATTTCTGTAATGTAGAGATATCCTAATTTACCTATATGCTAATGTATCTATATCCTAATTTCTGTAATGTAGAGATATCCTAATTTACCTATATGCTAATGTTCCTGTATCCTAATTTCTGTAAGGTACAGCTATTCTAATGTAGAGATATCCTAATTTATGTAATGTACAGATATCCTAATGTACCTATATCTTGATTTCTGTAATGTACAGATATCCTAATTTACCTATATGCTAATGTACCTATATCCTAATTTCTGTAAGGTACAGATATTCTAATGTAGAGATATCCTAATTTATGTAATGTACAGATATCCTAATGTACCTATATCTTGATTTCTGTAATGTACAGATATCCTGATTTACCTAATCCTGATTCACCTATTTCCTAATTTCTGTAATGTACAGACATCCCAATGTCCTCACCCCCATCTCATTTATGCACCAATGGCAAGGAAAGCCCTCATTTAATTTTCTCCTTGAGGCCTGTGTGGGTGATGTGGCACTAACCCCCCTGTTCCCCTCTGCAGATGAGAAGCCTTTCGTGGTGGAGGACACCTACCTGCTGTGCCCAGCACCTGTGCTCAGGGAAGTTGGCATGTAGGTTTTGCTGCCCCAAAATTCACGTGGCCATGGGGAGATGGGGCTGGGTCTCATCCCTGAGTTCTGTTTTTCTCTTATTTGACCCCAAGCTGCCATCCTGTGATGTTCTGTACCAGCTGAACACCCTGCCCATGGGGAGATGGGGCTGGGTCTCCTCTCTTAATTCTGTTTTCCTCTTATTTGACCCCAAGCTGCCATACCCTGGTGCTAGTGCCAGCTGTGCCCTGCAGCAGTGGCAATTGTCTGCACATGAGGATTTCTGAGCACCCAGGGCACCAGACAGAGGGCTGGCCAGGAGCTGCCCTGACCTGTTTCTGCTTTTTCCAGGGAAGCAGCTCTGCAAGTGAGCATGAACGATGGGCTGAGCTTCATCTCCAGCTCCGTCATCATCTCCAGCACGCACTGTGTGAGTTGGGGTCCCTGAAATGCTCCTGGGGTTTAACTCAAAGGGGGCTTGGAACGTGTGGCATTGTGACATTTTGGGTGTCTTGTGTGCCACGAGGTGGCCAAGCCTTCAGGCTCCAGGTCTGGGCTGGGACAGGCTTGGGGAGGCTGGGCTAGAGCACAGTTTAGGAATAAAGCAGGAATTTATTAAAATTTATTATCTGTGGATCCACCTTGGGCAGCACAACAGCCCAGCCAGGGCTGCACCCAAGATGAACCAAAATGGGCACAAAATGAACACAAGGTGAACCAAAATGGGCACAAAATGAACTCAAAATGACCCAAAATGGGCACAAAATGGACCCAAGATGGCACAAAATGAACCCAAGATAGCACAAAACGGACCCAAGATGAACCAAAATGGGCACAAAATGGACCCAAGATGACCCAAAATGGTCCCACATTCCCAAGAGGTCACAGGGTCTGTCACTTTAATAATTCTGCTCCATTTACATCTTGGAGTTCATTGCCCAATTCCAGCTTTAGGTTATTATCAAGCCCCATCCTCATTTTTCCCTCTTCATTCCACATTGTTTGTGCTCCTGGGCAAAGATGAGGTTGTCTTGGTCCAGGTTCTCCAGAAGTTCCTTCTGCAGATGCCAGGTGTGTCAGGGGTGTCACAGGTGTGTCAGGTGTGTCACAGGTATCAGGGTTTCACAGGTCTCAGGTGTGTCACAGGTGTCTCAGGGGTGTCGCAGATGTCACAGGTATCAGGGTTTCACAGGTCACAGGTATGTCAGGGGTGTCACTGGGATGTCTCAGGTGTTTCAGGGGTGTCACAGGTGTCACACTCTGTGCTCTCTGTGCTCTCCCCAGTCTGATGGCACCATCCTGGCCATTGCCTTGCTGATCCTGTTCCTGCTGCTGGCCCTGGCTCTGCTCTGGTGGTTCTGGCCCCTCTGCTGCACCGTGGTAAGTGGCACCAATCACCAGCACCCCTTCAGTAAATGCAATCACGGGGAGGAGGCAGAGCTTTCTCTCCTTTTTTTCATCTCTCTGGTGGGGCATCCTGAGGATCAGCAGCCGGGGCGGCTCCCTGTGCTCTGCTCACCCCAAAATTCTGTAAAATCAGAGCTGAAGGGTGATGAGGATGGAACAGGGAGCACTCAGGGCTCTCAGGAGTGAGCTGAGGGCACGGGAGCTGCCTTGCACAACAGCCCAGAGCTGCAACCTCGAGTCACCAAACCACAGACATGGCCCTGGATCCCAGCCCGGGGACGGCTCCGGGATAATTGGGGATGTGTCAGGGGAAAAAAGGGAAAAAAACACACCAGCCTCTTCCTCGCCGAGGATAAATGTGTTTCTGAGCGACAAGCAAATTTCTGAGGGCTGAAATTGCTCTTGGCACGCTCTGTGATTGGAGAGGAGTCATCGGAGTGCAGCAGTTCTCCAGGAAAGAGCCCGAGCCAGCTCCATCCCTGGAGTGGAGGGGCTGCATCAACAATATAATAAACCCTCACCCTGGGGTTTATCTGGAGCCCAGCATCCCCTGGCTCCTGGCCATGGAGGAATGCTCTTTCCAAATGCATCCAGCTTTATTGGCCTCACAGGGGCTCTGGGGTGAGGCTGGAATCCAGAACCGCAGTTTACAGTAGAGGCAATTGTTGCTTAGCAGGTCAGAACAACAAC